GCACCACGTGGAGGTAAGTCTATCGCACACCCACTTGGCTCTCCCCTCAAATTTCAACCCTACACGGATGGGCTTGTTTTTTTTTATTTTTACTATTACCATTACAATTATAATTATGTTGTATATTGAATAGTACATAATTTAAAATATTTAAATACTTTAAATCTTATGTAAAAATTAAAAAAATAATGGTCATTAAAAATGCTTTCTTAACCATACTCCAGTCCGATTTTAATCTGAATGAAAACTTCTCATTAATTATAGACTCAAATGCTTAAACTTCAAACCACATAATATATTTTAAGAAGCATTAAACAATCAATAAGACACACGCGGGGCGTATTAAAAATAGGAGTAATTGTTTTAAAACATCAGTGAATAAAATCGTAATCCTCCACCGACTAGAGGGGCAGGGAGGTCCCATGCAGTGGCCAATAGTGGAGTGTTGATAAGGCACTTGAAAATTCTTTGAACTACCGAACAATTTTCTGCCATATGGTAGCATTTATTTCTATTGGGTCTAGAAATTGCCATTAAGTGATGTGTTACAGTGTGGTCATTTATGAGTATACTGATAATCGGCTCATTTTTATAATATATGGTATCTTTACACCGCGTTCAAAGAATTATAACTATAGGTTATCATAGTTACTCATAGGTTCGTAGGAAAATTTTTAGAAAAGTTAATTGTGAGAGAGAGAGCGCATGAATAAACGGAAAATTTTATCATTATTTTTGGTGGGGGGGGGGGGGTTTGATTTGAAGAAAAATAGGCTGATTGGTTAATTTATTTCCCGGACTGTTAGCGCAACTTCGAGTTATGTACATTGAGTAATAACAAAGAGCAGTTAATGAGACCTAGAAACTTGCGAGGCCGAGCATAACAGAGTTCACATATAAACGAGGTTCCTCTGGCTTTAAGCACAAATCTAGGTGACCTCTACACAAAGGACAATGTGTTTCAATGTTGGATATCTCCCTGTTTAAGTTTTTCTTCGATTTGTTTTTACTGGCTTGAGCATAGTGAGGCGTATCGTAAGTGGAATATTTAATCATCTCAAGTGCACCCGTCGACCCACAGGTCAGCAAAGTTAGAGGTCCCGAGATCACTGTCCATTGGCACGCCTCCAATGATGAGGATGGCAAAGCGTGGAGTAGGGTGGGGTGGGAGGTTGGTAGAAAGCCATCTTTTCAAAAGGGGCAGTTGCAGGTTACCTTTCTTCTGCATAAGTTAGGCATCGATAACACTTTTCGTAGTGAGCTTTTGAAGTTTGAATGATGTTTAACAACCAAATGAATGCATAGTTTCTATAAGCATTGCAACTTAAATTTTTGAAGATTTGTCTAATATTAAGAGAGGTATTTGGTAGTCCGGTGACTAACCCATTTCGTTGGAACCTTTGCCCTTCACAGACGCACTCATTGGGCATACCGAAATGGAGTAGAAAATTCCCTTGTAAAAAGGGTAATTTGAATATCTAATGAGTGTTTACTCATATGCTTGCTTGAATAGGCAAGTATAGACATTTTAGGGAGAAATGTCCGACTAGGAATAAATTAAGACTTCCTGAGACCTTGAAAAACCTCCGGTTGAAGAGAAAAAATAAATATGCGGACAATTCAAAATGACGAAAATACAATATATATACTATTTACTTACAGAGAAATATTTTAAAATGTTTTCCCACTTTGATGCCACTTTCCGATTGACAAGGGAAATATATCTAAGTATAATCTCAGATGAAGCATTTTTTTGAGTGGATCAGGTATTAGGAAAATATTCAATAAATAGAACCATTGTAATGAACGAATTCTTTTAAATAGGAATGGTAAATTTTGCTTTTAGTTCGTTTGATTAATTGGTTCTTTGAGCAAACGAATTTATTCATATAATACAGCAATAAGGCATGAACAGTTCTTTAAACGAGAACTTAATTAGTGCAATGCCATTCAAGCATGAATATGCAAAGATCTTGTCAAAGACACCAAAGAAGTTATTTTTTTCCAGGAATAGTTAATTCTCATCAAGGATGATTTAAAACATGTTAAAGTTGGTTTTGGTTACTGCTTTCTTATACTGGAAGGAAAGTTAGAAAGACGCCCAGGAATGCTCATATTTGTAATGAGAATTAGTTGAAATTGTATTCTTTGAGAAAATTATTACAAAGGGGGAGGAAGACATGTTTACCTTCTCTGGGGACCGATTTAAATTGCTCCTACAACCATGACCCTTGACAATTCTACTTCATTATAATTAGTAGCATTTATAATACTCTTTAAAATAATACTATTTATATGCTCTCCTTCCATTCAGAAGATATTAATATTTCCAATAGTGATTTTGAAGAAAGTGTGCAGTTTAATGTAACCATCACAACTTTAAAATATTGATTTTTTAAAAGTGCATTGAAGGGAAAAGTAGTAAAGTTTAACGAATTACACGGAATACGTTCATTTGGACTACAGCCTAAGTTACGTGCTTAAAGTCATAGAGCTTAATCATTAAATACTCTAACAGTGAAATGACTAATGATTATTGGTTGGGCGAGAAGTCACTGCACCCGTGACCTCACTTGCTTCTCAAAGAGATCAGGACCACGTCGCCACGACGCCACGTTCCAGAATGCCAGGGTGTCCAAGGAATTCTTTGGTTTAGCCATGTTCACCCACATACCAGTAAATGCAATCAATACTATATAATTTGTATGTTGAAATGAACGATGAATAACCAAACAATGACTAATGAGTAGGTCGCCAAAGAAGCTGGGGTCAAAGACGATGTAATGTCATAGAAATTAGCTCAATGGGCATTAAAGACCTAAAGTATTTGCAACTTGCAAAATTAGAAGGTAAAAACGAAGTCTACTCAAATGCAAAAGAGTCTTCCAGTGAATGAAGTGAAAGATAGAGTAGCGCCCCTGGAAGAAAACATCGATGAAGCTATTGAATATTTCGGATTAGAATTCAACTGATTATTGTGATATATGGATATGTTCTAGAGGAAACATTTCCACATCACTGTTCTTCAAAATTGACTTTTTACATTGCCAATGAAAGAACCACAGTGAAACCAGATGAAAGTAGTATGCTTTTGAATTTGAGCAAAAGTCTGTAAGTCCCAAAAACGTGAGACTTTTTTTCGAAATGTTTTCCAATAGCACTTTTGGAATTTATTAATCTGTTTCAGTCCTGATTTACACGCAGGTTTTTCCTTCACTTTAAGTTTAGTGCGCAGAAAATTAAAAAACCCCTTCTTATCATTACAGTGAATAAATGCGTCCCAATGATTGACGATAATAATACCAGCAAGACTTGATGGACAGGCACCTTATGGATATGCCTTCGTGCATGACAAATGATTGTCTCACGATCTCAAATCAACATGCAACTCAAATTAGTCATATAACGAAAATCATGAAAGAGTTACCGAAAAAGACACCTCAATTAAGTAGTAATTGGCACAAAGAAAATTCTGGAGGAAATTAAATCGTGCAGCTCTATTTCTGCTTTCGGAACCAAAATTAGCTATGGTATCAGGCCCCTCATTGAACAATGATCTCCACAAGACTGCTAGGGAACAGCAAACTCTAACGCATGGGGAGACCAAGAATTGATCGGAAAATATCCATTGTTCAAGTTGAAAATGAATGTGGTTGGTGAAGGTAGGAAGGAGTAGAAGGACAGAATTGGGAAGAAGGAGGAAAGCGTTAGTATTCAGGTTGAATAACCCGCATATCTCCATAAAGTTGGTAAATTATCACATCGGTTCAGGCAAGTTAACAAAGGCTTATGAAAAATAAAGGGATTAAATTGATTGATTGTTGGAGGGGAACGATATTCAAGTTTGAAAATAAAATAGTAGTTTTATTTAAATAAAATTGGGTAGGATAACTGGGGGTGATGTGAAGTGTGAATAGGCAGGAACTTTATAAAACCCTAGTAGCTCAAAATGCTTTCTGATAATTCCACATTTTAACAGTAAAAGTGTGTTTTGAAAAACCTCCATTTTTATAACTGGTCCATTCTATAACCCTGAGACTAATTTTTAAATGCTTACCGAGTTTCCTTTTTTTTCCTCATGTGAGTGTTCTATCCTTTCCTTTCCCACTGCACATACGTTGGGCGATCCCTACCTATATCTAAGTATAAGCCATTGCTTGTCTAATTGTATATCATCTTCCTTTCTTAATATACTCAAAATAAGCGAACTTTTGTTGATCTCACCAAACGGTCTTCTTAATATACGAAAATCTCCCTCCGTGGGCATTTTACTTTGACCTTCTACTGAGCTCTGTCTACTTAAGTTATTTGTTAAACTTTTGTGATTAAATAAATTACAAAATATAATCCCCCCCCCCAAACCTTCTGACATAGGATAAATTGGTACCTTCAACTAAGCAGCCTGGGATAAGGATTTAGCTATCTAAGTTTAATGTTGTGGGGAGCTTAATTAGTAAAAGGTACACTGTCACTACAAGCATTTATCGATTCAATTTATTCATTTCAAAAGGTTCATTTACTTCAAAAACAATGCCAGACAGGTGATATGATATAATATGAACTATAGCTATTCATTAAAAATTGAATGGAATAAAACTGGCCTCAAATGTAATTGAGCAACATTCTCTTCAAAACGAACGATTAGAATTTAAAAATATAAATAAAACAATATAATATGCTGTCTACCAAAAATAAACTTTGAGATTCTTTTACATATAATTAATATTTACATCCATCTCAAGAGAAAAATGCGTATATTTTGCAAATCAGGACATGTCTTCCTACATTTCCACTTTCTTAACTCCTTAAGTCAAACTACACTATCACCATGCGCCATAACCAATCAACGTTCACCATTTCTCTACGAATTTTTCTGACCAATAAAATTTATCCCCTCCACATCTTTTTGATTTAAAAAGGATCAAATGTCAATTAACTCAAATATTAAAATAACACAGTGAGTGATTGAATAAGATACGAAGTCCTGTTTGCACTTTGGCATGAAATATAAAGAATTCAACAAGCGCCTCTGTAGGGCGACTTATTTCCTACTCCTCTACATTGTACTGTTGGGAATGTTTATCGGCCTAATATACGGTGTGATGTATTTCGATATTGAACGAGATAAACCGACCTTGACTGGACTCAATAGTGCACTGGGTTTCAATCCGGGATTAAGTATAATTCCACGTTCGGATATTCACAGCGGTCTGATTCTCGTGGATGCTCGAAGTATTTTACTAACGGAAGGCTTTGCTTCGGAACTAATGGCTTTTATCTACCCTTATCAAAGATCTGCAGATCGTGTACAGTTGATGCAGTGTGCAAAGAACGATGGTGCCTATACGTTTGATAAAACTCGGCCCTGCGCGTATGATCTGAATTCTGCGTGGCCTTGCAATTTGAGAAACGTTTTCGGATATGGTAGCGAAAACCCGTGCTTCCTTCTGAAAATGAATAAGGTTGGTTACTACCCCCCCCCCCCCCAACTTTATCTAAGCTTTTTGGCAGTTCAGAAGTTTTAAAGTAAAAATGATATGACAATTCTTTTTCTATTATTTTTTAGTTAAAAATATTATAGCTTGCAACGATTTGGTTAAACAATGGAATTAATTATAACATCATTACTTATATACTGTATTATTCTCTTATTTTTAACCAAAAAGCATTCTGGATTAATTAAAAGACGATCGTCTTCATAACCACCACGATTCACTTTGCCTTTAGAGTATTTTTTGCTTATTGACAAGTCGTAGTTGCGTGTCATTTCACTTTGACTTTATATGAAATTTCCGTTAATAAGATTAAAAAGTACTTGTTTAATGAATTGGCCACGATTTCTGAGAATTGGGTCTTATTTTCGGACAAAAATTACCGAATTATGCTTCAATCAAAATGCGACCTGCTTTACGATCAGCATTTCATTTCGTAAGGTTAGGAAAATGTGAAACTTAAGGATAATGCCAAATAACTCTTAAGTGCTGAAGTCTAAGTGAAATAATCTGGTTAGGGACTGTTCAAAATTGAATTACCAGTTAGACGAGAATTTATTTTAAGTCCCTCACCTAATGAAATAAGGGATCTTTGAAACTTGTCCTTGGGCAGGGTAGTAGTATACTATAGCTTTCTCTTTTCGAGAAATTTACTCTCCTGATCACCATTAACTGTCTGTTTATGCCATTCACTAAGAAGAATCGAACTCAATGGGAGCAAATAACGATGAATGTATCGATGTTTGATATTAAATCCCCCATTCACTTCATTTCAGATTTATGGCTGGTTACCAGATCCCGTCGAAGGTGCGAACGGGGTGGTCGTTAAATGTGAGGGTGTGACCTTGGATGATCAAATTAATATGGGTGACGTGAGATATTATGATTTGGACAGCCATTACTCTAACATGGGATTTGATGCGCGAGCTAAAGGCAAGGAGCATAATGGAACATTTCATTCGGACTTCTTCCCTTATGTGAATCAGAGGTGGTACCTCCAGCCAATTGTTTGGGTGGTATTCAACGATATGAAACGCGGGAGCCTCACGAGAGTGCAATGCTATCTCATTGCGAAGAATATACATGTGGATATGGCAACTGGTGAAGGATCAATAAGATTTGTGGTCTTGATGGAGTAGCAGAAGACTATCACCTGAGACTGTTGACAAACAATATTTTTCTCTCATATCATAAATTCTATGTAAATGTGCTTTCTATTTGAATATTGGCAGTTTAATTATAATTGTAATTCAATTGCTACTCTTTTCATACCAAAGGAATTTGTAATAAGAGATTCACTCGAATTAACTAATATACAAACATAGCTGACTGAAAATACTGTAATAAACAAGATAAAGTTAATTCCGAAGGAAAAATAAAATTTTTGCTTTTATAAAATAAGTGAAATATAATGAACGGACACAATATGCGGCATAGTTAAGTGGTTACAGACCAAAACTATAGCTGTATCCATAAAATTACAAAATAACCAAATTCTGTCAGATTGCAGAAAAAACTTAAACAATGAAGACTGAAGCGTTAATAAAATAATTTGAGAACTTGGTGTATGATCTTGAGAGAAACACATTGTAATGTCACTACAAAATTTTTGATAATTATTCTTATATCTATAAAAACACCATGATTCAGTCCGTCATTTTTTTGATGTGCAAAGATCTTCAAAATAGAAATTAAAGCGAAAGTGTAACACACAAAATTGGAAATCAATATATCATTATTTAGTGATTTATAAAATTAATAATAATTTAATGTCTCTTTAATAGAGCTAAGATTTCACGTATAACTGTTAATTGAAAACATGAATTTTTAACAAATTTTCCACCATTGCACAACTACTTTACTACCGTCGCCTCTAAGTATAATGGATTTTGTTAAAGCATGGAGAATATGCTTATATGCCAAATAATAGCCCTTGTAGGAATATCTGGTAATCTGAATAATTTAAAACACATAGCATTGGTCATTTAAACTTGTTTAGCATTATTATTACTCAGACCATAAAGTAAAAGAAGAAACTAGTTGCTGATACAACGGATTTTTCTAAAAAATAATTTAACTATAAAGAATTTAGCATGTGGAAATTGATTGCCATCATGCGTTAAGACAAAAGAGTGAGTGTTTTTATAATTGATAAGTTTTCTGACAAAAATAAGGCATCAATTAATAGAAAATCTATATTTTTTTGCGCGATCATTTAATTTATACAACGATACAAACGCTTTAATTGAATCACTGATGGTGTTTTGAATAAAAATAGAAATATTTTTCCCCATAAAATGCACTTTTCCAATTAATTCGATATTAGAGATCGTGCATTTTATTGTGATGTCCTATTTCAGCAATGTTCAAACCAGGAAGGAAATAAAGATTAACAAACAGAAAGAAAGTTGTATTTTCTTTTCAAATTTCATTCCCAACAATTTACTCAAAAACAAATTTCATCGATATCAATCATCTTATTTATAATATTATGAGAATGAACTTAATAAAAGGATTTCCATATTCGAATCCACCGAAAATAACTACAATTTAAGAAGAAACAGGCTCAAATGTTAAAATGCAGGTTCCTACGTAAATAAATAAATGAATACATTATCCGTGTTTTATAAAGATTTATTTGAAAATAATAAAGTAGTAGTTAAGCAATTATTAATGATTATGATTGGCATTGGAACCATTGAAATCGATTGATTTTAGTGATTAACAAAAACAGTTTAACTCATCTAGAATTCAACACCAAATTTTAGGGTACTTAAAATGATTTTATCGTTACTATACAATTAAAGTAGACTAGACTGCTTCCTTTAATATTTTAATGGAACAAACTTCTTCCATTCTTTCCAAAATATCTGTTCTATTCACTATTGTTCAATTTCCAAAGGCTTAAGCATAAAAATATATTTCTTCAGAGTACTAAGGAGTGGAAGAAATTACATTAAACTTAAGAGAAAAAATTGAATATTTATTAATATATATAAAAAACCTATAATTTTTCTATATTTCTTTATTTTGTTATAATTATTTAACCGTTTGCGTGCAAGGTACAAATAGAGGTTGAGGGCTGGGTTGTTGCCAAAGCGTCAATCAAATAGTATGATTGCTTTGTCCTTATGATTTTAGAATTTTTAAAGAAAAAAATACTGAGGTGTATGCTTAAGTTCTTTACGTTCTATCTATTTACTGGTTATTATTTGCTTTTTTCTATTGGATTATTGGGCTTATATTTTTAACAAAGACAAGACTTACTTTACTCTACTCCACTTTGGAATTGTTTATCTTACCTTAATAGCATCTTCGTGCTAGCCGGTTTTTCTTGGTCTTTTCCGTGGTAAAACAACGTTTCAAAGCACAACATGTCTATGACCTCTCTGAATTCCGGGTCCTTTGCTGAAACCAACGTCCAGTGGCCCGTAGTTCGCTCAGCCTATGAAATTGTTAAATCCATTGGTACTCAAATTAATTTTTTATAGCCTTATTTATCAGGTCAAGGTGCCACCTCTACTGTTCATGAAGCCCTTTGCAAGCCTCTCAACCGAAAATGTGCAATGAAAATAATTAACTTGGACAAATCAAATACATCTGCTTCTCTAGAAGAAATTAACGTTTGTTCCTTTATTTGATTTAATTTCAAATTCCTTAGCGCGAGATTAAATCCATGAAAAATATGAAAAATGAGAACATTGTTGCCTATTACGCGTCGTTTGTTGACAAAACCGAACTTTGCATTGTAATGGACCTTTGCCAAAGAGGTATTTTCGTGGTCAAATTTACCAACACATGCTCTTTTAATGTATTGAATTTTTCCTTTCTCTTAACTAGGTTCGTTGCTGGATGTTATCAAGTTCATTCAAAGCAAAAGGGACATAACTTACGGAGTATTCGATGAATACACAATTGCGACAATTCTCAAAGATGTTCTTCGTGGATTGGCATACATTCATGAGGGTGGCCTTGTTCATAGGTATGCAAATAATTAAGGAAAGGCATCTTTTAACTTTTTGAACGCTCTCTTAACTTTGAATTACACATGTTATCCTTAACTAAAAAGGCATATTCATCTATTCTTTTAGGAGGTAGTTTCTTATAAACCTATTGCGAATCGTTATTTAGGAATGATCACTTTCATTTATTTGGATGATCATTATCACTTTTTTATGTCCTTATATGTGCAAATGATTTTACTATTGACCTTGGCTAATGGGGTCTCTGAAATCCCATTCTAAACCATAGTGGCAAATGTGTTTTTCCAGTAAGTAACGATAGTGTTGAAATTCCCGAATGACATATCCACGGTCGTATTTTTGATTATGCTTACTCCGTATTGTTATGAATTTTGTTATGAATATCCAGGCCCCCTTTTATTTCAATAAATTTAATTACTCGTCATTTCGAACTGTAAACACCAGTTGTGTGGAGGTGTTTTAGATTGGTTATTTTTCTGTTAGGGTAAATAGTTTTTGGGAGACTGCCTTATTCACGACTTGGAATTAATTAATCTTTATCTAAATTGCTTGTCACGTTTGTGTACTGTCGAATTCTCACCACGACATAATTATACATCCTAGTATTAGCAGATGATCTAATAGTTTGACTTGATGCTTTAAATTCTTTTTGAGATCTTGTGGTGATTCCTGTCGCTATTGATGTGTTCGCCGTATAAGTTGTTTGTGAATCCAAGCTTTGAGCATATAGGTAAATATATTTCGGCTGTTTTGTGGAAGCTGTTAAATCGGTTTTATGATCGAATAGGCCTCATGGAAAATCGGTGGGACTTGTACTCTTGCTGTTCTTTGATCAGTAATCAACTCAAGAAGTCACTAGTTTATTGCCATACCATATAATGTCTCTGTTAAAATTATCAAACGAACTACCAATTAATACTCTTCGAGTTTCTCGCTATTTTTTCCAGTTTGTTGTTCTGTAAGGGAGTAGATATTTTGATGTATAGATATTATCAACACATTACTGGTAATTCGCATAGGATGCAATTTTTCGATCATGGGATATGTGCCGGTATAATTTGGGCATGTCATCTGACAGATTTACAAATCACTGTATCATTTTTACTCACCTTTTCATTTCCAAAAGTTGTGCTGTTTGCACTCCTTTATTCTGATGACATGTTCTGCACATATGTTCAAATCGCATTCGCTCAATGTGTTCTAACAAGCCTTTACTTGGTTTGCAATACACGAGACTCTTTCATTTCCACTGGGGGTGAGGGGGAGGGGGAATTTTAACATTCCCATTCCATCATGTTCAAATAGTGCGGTGATTTAACCTCTGTAACATTTTGGTTATATTTTCAAATTCTAGTCAATTGTTTAAAAAAACAAATCAAGTGATATCTCTCTACCACATCTTAATTTTTTTACAAGTCTCCCTTATGTTTCGTACTTTTTTATTAATACTTAATAAAGGAAGACAATTTTAATTGTCTGAGATGATATACCCCATTGGCTCTTAAACCTTTGCATGTAACAAGCATGGACAAATAAATATCACCACATGAAGGGCTTAACTTTATATATATAGGGGTTTTTTCACTTTTTAGAGATCTAAAGTGCGGAAACCTGCTTGTTAAGGATGATGGAGTTATTCAAATAGCCGATTTCGGAGTAGCTGGTTTCTTGGCCAGTCAACCACTCTCTGAGACCGGAAGTATGGGCCCTCGTCGATTCACTTTCGTTGGAACTCCATGTTGGATGGCTCCGGAAGTCATGCAACAGGTAGTTTGAATGAACATTCGTTGAATCGAGGGGCTATGAATGGGGCTTCTAAGCTCTCTTTTTCTCCCTTAGACTGGTGGCTACAACCACAAGGCGGATATTTGGTCTATAGGAATAACGACAATTGAGATGGCAACGGGACAGGCTCCTTACGCTAAATACACACCAATGAAGGTATGATGCTAAGATTTACCATTTCCCACTTGATGATGATCACTTGACATACTTTTATTAGGAGCTATTAATGGCATATATAAATCCTCTAGGTCGTGTTATTCTTAGCGCTTATGTTATAAATCGAATGAGTTGTTTATTTGCCATTTTCAGGGTTATCTTTTTTCCTTTTTCCCTACTTATTATTAATAAATAAAAGGTCAGCAAACTTAAGCTAATTATCAGGATAAATGTATCTCCTCTTTCTCTTAATCGTTTTCTTTTTTTGCAAGTCAATATTCCTTCTAGTTAATTAAGCAGACTGACCTAAATATTCTTTTACTTTAGTAATATTCACTTGATATTTATTGGTTTGGATATCATTGCGATTCTGAGTAGGCGAGAATATTTTTTTGTCCCTTGTAAAATTTGATCCCATTCGAGTGCATTCATGTGCATTTAAATAGGTGACTTGTTTTCCTACTGAATTATCTCTTTTCATAAAGGTTCTTAACGTTATACTAACATCAATAATATATTCTCGCATCTTTCCTCCTTGTGATTTAATGCTAATTCGATTTATCTGTTTCTTTGAAAACCGTCATCCTGTGAAAATTTGCCTTAATGAACGTGTTCGGCACCCAGCGGTGGACACTCAATGTGCATGGTGCTTTAAAACGGTTACGTTGAGAGGGACTTGTGGATTTTAAGCAAATTTTAATTAGTGTTATCTATGCGCCTTCCTCACATTGATCGCTTTATTTTCCTTCGAATTATTTGTAGTAGCCTGGTGTATTTCGCTGACAGGGCACTTACTCAGCTCCCCGTTAATGCCTCTTTCGCGTAACTTTGACTTTACGCATTATGCTCGGCTTTTTGTCTGGAAGACAGTGTAATAATAAATTGGAGCAGATAAATAGAAAGGATTTGGAATGAAATGAATTAGTATTTACCATGACTTTTTACTTGCTTTCTTAAATTGAATGTGCGCTCTTATAGGCTCCTTGCGCTTTGTATTGCTTGCAGCAATCTTTCCTAAACTCTATAAGAATGGAAATTCACCTCTACTACCTAACTAAAGTCGGGCAAAACCTTTCTATTCCTAATATAAATCATAGTTTTGAAACATTTACTAGAATATGTTAAAGGAGTTTGGTTTTAAACAGTGCCGAATTGATTGAAGACTATTTCAATTGACGAACCGTCAGCATTTATCATCATATTGTGCACTTTCGATCACATTATGCTTAGCCAATGTCAACGATTTATATAAAAGGGAAAAAACGCCAGTGTTTCCTTTTCAGTGAAATTTATTTAGGACTTTGATCTAGTTTAGTATTACCTTCTATAACACGAGTTTTAGGCCCCACATTGTGTATGTTACAAAGTTCATTGTTACTGAAATTACTAGTTGCAAAACTAGGCTTTTCATTAACACTTTCTATATGAGTACACAAATTCGGATTTTGCTCAAAGGAGTCAAACTTCTCAATTAATGTCTTGAGCAATCTAATTGTTTGATGAGAGCATCACTTAAATAGTAAATAAGAGATAACCAAACGGAAGTGTCTCCTGTTTGTTTTTTAAGTTGGTGTTTACAATGTTCCAGAGTCGATTCCGGTTAGTATCACTGATGCGACCCTTATCTTGCATTTATAACTCTCATGGGGATGACTATTTGCGACTTTTCGCGTTGTTTAGATTGTAGATAGAGGGGTCTAAATTACAATTTATTCTGCAACACTCTGTAGACAGTTAGAGGGAGAGGTCATAGGGTCTTGAATATTGCAGCAGAAAGATGGATCGGGAAAAATGAAAGGTGAAAGAGTGAAAGGAAGCAGCAAACGCCTTTCCCCAATGGCTAGTTGCGTCTCTCTAGCAGTGTAGGATTATTGTTGACTCTATCTCAGTTTTTGGTTCCCCCATTTATCCACTTTAGTCTCATATTGATCTGCGTGCCGGGGCGAGCGCGCTTCTAATTTGTCTGTCAGTGTTACTGGCTTAGCCTACTTTCAATTCATCAGTAACGACGCGTTTGAAGGGTTGCCAAAATTGCGTTCTTTTGGAAATATTCACACATAATTAATTTTTTGCATAATTGGATTTTTTTCACTTTCATAATGGAATTGTAAAAAGCAGTGACCGTTAATATTGGTAAATAGCTAATTTAAATTTCCTTCTCATCCTCATCCTCGACAGGTTCTCATGCTAACATTGAAGAATGATCCACCAGACATTGATACCGGAGCTACCGTCTCAAATCAATACGTGGAATATGGGCATAAATTCAGGAAGTTCACTAAATCCTGTCTTACCAAAGATCCTGCTCAACGACCCACTGCCAAGGAACTTCTCAGTCACTCATATGTCAAATCGAAAGCCAAAGTAAGTTATTACAAGATCTACTTTAGGAAATTAAATATATTACCTTATTTCATTGATCTAGCGCGCAAAGAATGTTTAGAGTTTCAGGTAACATGTGATCACAGTGTTGCTTCGATGACATAATTGAAATGAAATGCGAAATGCCTCTCTATAAGCTTAATTTGTGCCCTAAAGGGTTAAATTTCAGTACACATGGGTTTTTCTAACATCTAAGGCAGATGTTATGCGCATTCGTTTCTTTTCAAGGGGGTAATATTATATCAACTTCAAGATTGTGACAGCTGTTCTATGTTGTTAGGCAATGATGTTGTCGTTGGGACTCTCAGTCTTTGGTATTAGATGACTTTGTCGACCTTTTTTTCTTATTAATGTCGGAGTGATTTCGGCATAACCACACAAACCTTACTAGGTGGCTATAGTAACTCACAAATAGATTTTATTAATCACCATTGTCACTAATTCTACCGAGATCTGCCCATTCAGGTGAATGCGTGTTTGTTTAATGGGGTGTTATGGGGGAGAGAAAGTGGAATCGATTGGGAATGACTGTGCTTCTTTTATTTTTCCCGCAGGACCCCCTAAACTTACTAGTTGTGATAAGCGTTCTAAGATTCAAATCGGTACTTTATAAATCTTCATGAGAGTATTGTAAATGTAAAAACCCATTTGTTAATTTATGGCGTATTTCAATGCTTTAAATTGATACACTTGATGAAAATACTGATACAAAACCATCTTTTATCAATGCTATGATTTATTAGTTGCATAACCTGGAAATGCGATGTAATTTACCCTCGAATGGACTGAAATTTTCCTAATTACATATTTACTAATTCATTATCCTGATTGATTTTGTTCTATATTTTAGTATCTATTTTCATAGTCTCAGTAACAGCCATGTGGTTTTGAACAATTCGTTGTATTGATTTTCTGAACAATTCCATAAACTTTTTGAAATCGGCCTTACCACAATGCAAGTAGTCTAGTAAACGACCAATCCGTGGCTAATGCTTGGTTTAATAAGGACGGAAATGGCAATGGCGTTACATCGAGGATGATTGCATGGAGCTAGTTGATAAAATTTTCAAGTCATAGGCACACATGGTTGATTACGAGTTCTCTTCCTCTGTTCAAACCTGTTTCTACCGAATTATTTTTCCTTAATGCTTTTCCCATCATTTATTTTAGGACCGTGAGTTGTTATGTCGTGTGCTGTTGAGTGGAGAAGTGCCTACCCCACCTCTGAAGCAAAATCGTCATCACGAGGATCGTTCCGAGAAACGTGATAAGGTATGTGCATTAGTTATGTTGCCTAGTAGGCATTTTGGGAAAGAGTCTACTCTCCTTTAACGTTTACATCTTAGAATACTCAGGCATCTGGGCATCTTTACACAATGCCTTAACACCATCAGAAGTGACATATCGATTGAGGAGATAGTAATAATGACAATAATTTATTAGTCAATACTGTTTGTGGCTGATATTTAGTTTGTTTGCTATCTTAACAACTTCCTGTAGCGTTTCTAGGAGCTTTCTATTAGTTAATAGATTTGAGAATATGAGAGCCTTTTGCTCCCAAGCCTCTGATTAACTTACTAACAGGCTTCAATTATCACGCCCAAAATGTGGTGGAAATGACTTATTAACATGATTCTAGTTTTATTTCGCTCTTTGATTGCCTAATCTAATTTAATGCAATCGGTTTTTTACACTAAATACTGATACAATTAGTATTGATTAGTCAAAGTTAGCATAACTTTTCGTTTTAATGTAGTTATTAATTTCAGAATGTGCATATATACACCAATTACGTGCAGATACGGTTAATTATTACTTATACAGACACTAATATTTAGGGTGAGATTAGATAGCTCACTTGCCTAGGACCTTATAATGCAATTACTTTCTTCACATGTATGGTTGTTTTTGTGTTTTTAACAAAAAATAGAATCCTAGGGGTTAGAGTAATTGTTGTCATCCATGTTTTAAGTAGCTTTTTTTCCTGCAACAACTGGATTCTTATTGCCTCTGTCTAGTTATTTTTCCATGGCATTATTATAATTTTTGGCGTCTTTCTGTTCACCGATATTCAACCACTATGAAGACGGGCGTAATGATTTAAATATACCCCCATTTTGAGGGTATAGAATTGACTAGGAGGCGAATACTCATGCTTTTACAATTCACTTGCTTTAATTATTAATGACTTGTTTTTTTTCAAAACAGTAGTAAAACGATCACTACTGGAGCATTAGAAAAAGTAAGGCATGATATAATGGACTGAAGGGAAACTCAGTGGATAAGGAAATTTGCGTTAATGTCTAATACAGTCTCAATCTCTCCCCTGAAACTGGTTCATGCTGATTTTACATTTTCCCTGGGAAGGTCCAAAAACTCACTTTAATTCTATTCACTAAATAGTGCTGTCATGACGATTAGGCTCATTCTCAACAACACCCTATACGTAATAATCAATCGGGTTAAGATCTGGGACGTTCTGAGGTTAAAATATGTCTGTATTGTTGTTGTAAAAATTGGGGATCAACCATTTTCGACTTTTTCCTGAGATGTGGCAGGAAGCCAGCTTTAGCTGCTATACATTTGGCCTCAGTAGCTGGGGTTCAACTACTGCGGGGGTCAATAATTCCACTTTGGCATCCGGATTCAATCTTGGCTCTTCTTTGAAAATTTGTAGGGAAGCATCAAATCATCTTCTTCGGAGGAGAACGCATCCGAAAACTGTGATGTTTGGGGAAGTTTAGTCTACACCAGTCTATATCTGCTGCTCTGTGATTTGTGCTTTTGATCTTGGTAAAAGTTTTTCCCACCAGAAAGGGACTGGATTGTTTGCGTTTTTAGCAGGATGTTTCATTTTGCTCAAATGTTCTTTGCCTTTGTGTGACGATTTCCACAGTCCTTCAACGCTTGAACGAGTTTCTAGTGGCCAAGTTCTTTATTGAGTATAAGCTTCATGATAGAGGTTGGAAGATTCAACTAGCTGTTATAAAAGAAGTTCGATTTGAGATGCCAGAAGACTTTCTAAATCTTTGCTGCTGATTTTCAAGGAAACCTGCTATGCGAGCATAATCAAACCAGATCGTATGCTATGTCGCACTTTTTTCTACTCACAGCAACATACTAGTCTTCATTACAATTGTCCAGTTCATGTGGATTGTTTATATAGTGTTGAGGAAGCGTCGATTGGCTACACTAACCTCATCACGCCTTCGATTGCCAGTGTTATAAATCATCATGACACAAATTAGGAGCCCAAATGAATTAGTTTAGGCAATTCTTAACTGAATTAATAATATTCCGAGAGGCTAATTAAAAACAGCTGCCTTTTCTAGATGAAAAGGCCAAGCGTTGCGGTTGCCTACAGGTGAATTGGACAACCTTTAATGGGAGGATATAGGGCACAGGAGGGGGGGGGGGGGAAGAGCAGGAACTGAACTTGCAATTTTTAAGTGCGCGGGAATAAAATGTGAGCTCTGACCGAGTGGATACAGGGTTGGTGTAAAGAGGCCGAATTTAAGTATTCTTAGAGGAGGTGAATGGTTTTGTGTCCTTCATTCATCGGATGAGTAACAGTAAAATATGTTGATAAGTTGCATAAGTAAACAGTGATTATTTCATTAGCTGAAGAACCCATAATTTTTACCCCAACCCAGGCTATCTTGCTTTTCCTATTTTTCCCGCGTATATCTTTTAGGCTTTATACGGTCTTTGTTAATGCTCTTCACAATTAACATTCCTACGTTATGTGACTGACTGACCTTGTCCCAAAAAGGAACTGACAACTCATTAATGCAAATTTTTTTACCCATAAATGGTCCCTTTTGTTGGCAGATTGACTAATGTGATTACACATTCATCAGTGCTTTTTGTGCCTCTACTAATGTTTCTTTTTCGTCATTGTCTGTAGGAAGATGAATCGGAGGTGAGTTTATCCTAGTCGCTACTTCATGTTTATTTAGTGGTTTACGTTTTCAGTGGGCCTTGATATATATATATATATATATATATATATATACGTGCTATGTTATTAACTTCTTTTTTGTCTGTTTTATTTTGAAGGAGAGTGGGCAGGAAATTGATGAGGTGGGTTTCTTTCTCTCNTGAGTTTATCCTAGTCGCTACTTCATGTTTATTTAGTGGTTTACGTTTTCAGTGGGCCTTGATATATATATATATATATATATATATATATACGTGCTATGTTATTAACTTCTTTTTTGTCTGTTTTATTTTGAAGGAGAGTGGGCAGGAAATTGATGAGGTGGGTTTCTTTCTCTCTCTCTCTCTCTATTCGCCTGCCTCAAAATTAGTGTCTCTAAAATATGTCTTCTCATCAGCGCTACACTTCTTAAAAATGACCCTTTTTTTCCTAATTCTTTGCTATATTAACTAACTCTTAGGCTAGTGGCGTGCTTATGTGTAGTATTGTTAATATATTAGCTACAAATTCATGCCTTACGAATGTCTAGGGAGTGAAATCCTGAAAACGCTTCTATGAGTGGACTGGGCTTTGCAAATATTTTGTACATAATTTAAAGGGGGGGGGGTAACTAATGAATAGAAGGGGCAGGTTTTGAGCATCCTTTTTGTCTTAAAGATAATGCAGGAGAGATGGCCGAAAGTATGATGAATGTGAATTCAAACTGCTTTGGGATTAGGGCATAGTGCATCTGTTTTGATGGTCACCGATCGCGTCTTCCAAATAAAAAGAGGTCAAGAGATTAATGCCTACCCACCTATCTATCTATCTATCCATCCTAAAGGCAAGTGCTGTCGTGAACACTTTCTAGTTTACTTGGCAGTTGAGCTTAGCTCCGGCTTTTACCGCAGTTCTTTTGTGCGGCGCTAGCTAATAAACATAGCTTTCTTGTTTGCTTAACAGGATGCTAAGATGTGTTTGAGATTATTGGGCGGAAACACTTGAATATTTCCAAACGAGCCCGAAAGTATTGAACTATCCACACCATTTGAGAAAAACTACATGGACCAGATCTCATGTTTTCAATTGCATGGCCAAAAGTCGAAAAATTATAAATATAAAGTGCGGTAGGTTTGTGTCCTAGTGCGAACTGAGACTGAGAACGAACTTTCTTACTTCTGTATTAGATAATTTGTTACTAATTTCTTAAAAGGGCACAACATGAAACATGCGTAAGTTGGAGCCTTATTGGGTAATGGGTTTGGCTCATTAACCACATGGAGTTTCGCATATAGGGGTTTGTAGTGATCTTTAAGGTGTGATCTGTACATGTACTGGCGCTATCTTTTCTCTCTAACAGTTCGCTTCCAGAAATCATATTGTATCAATAACTTTGCCATTTGAAATTTACTAATTGAGCCAGCCAGGTTGCTAGATAGACATTTATAAGTTCGCATCAGTAAATAGGCACCTTATTTTGACATCTGGATATTCTACATGCTAAAGCGTGGGAATTAGAAAACCGCTTCCATATATTACAGTACAGTGTACTAGAAAGTCTGCGATTCCTCTATGTGTATGTGTTTTGCATTTCTAAATCTGCTGCTTTTTCTATTGTTTAATATTTCTTTCTTCACCCCCTTCCCCCCTCCTTTTGTAGTCCAACGTATTTACAGAATGGGACTTTGATACCATTGGACGTGGTGGAGGACCTTCGGGTGGTCATTTTTACAACAGTGACGAGGACAGTGATGAGGGAGGAGTTGTCGGTCAAGAGACCCTTCCTGCCGGTGCTGGAGCCGCCACGGCTGCCGCTGTTTCAGTTCAACAACAACCTCCTGTTCCACCTCCTAGATCTGGGTCGACAGCGGATCCCTCTCCCACCCAACCACTCCCACCGGCTCCTGCTGGAACTCCTGCGTCTCCATTGCCTCAAATTGCCAATCCAAACTTTGGAAATATCACAAATTTCTCGCATCTGACTGCTAATGATCAGGGTAGCTCTGGAGAGGTGAGTTAATGCCAGTCTTGTTCTACTCATACTACTCAAACGAGATATTACATAGTAATACATTTTGAGTGCTAAAATGCTGGGTTTACTAGTCTACTCTAATTTTCTACTTCCTATTCACATTTGTTCAAGGTTGTGACTATAACAGGTTAATAAAGATAGCAAAGAATTCTTTTGTCTCTTTGGGTTGTTATCGATAAAATGACCAACGATTCCTGCCTCATCAACTTAAGTCCGAATTTCGCTCCTCTCGGCGTTCGTGTTTTTGAACTGGAATTTGAATTACTGCGTGGTTCTATGCTTATTAAATTCAAATTTAACTTTCCTAAAAGTAGTAATATCGTTTGGTCAATACTCTAATCGATAGATGCTCTTTAGCACAAATAATGCTCTCTTTTGGTTCATAATCCCTTTACACGATCCGATTTCCGTAGCACTCATTTGATACTCTTTGACTTAGTCTCACCGGTTTAAACATTCTTGATAATGCCTTATTTGGACTATTTCAATTGCATTTTAATTCATTTGCAACTTGTACTGTTTTCAATTGTAGCCGACTGGTCCATACTATCGTCTTACTCTTCGCAAGCGAAATCCACGCCAAAAGAATGAATTACAAGACATCAGTTTCAACTTTGTCATTGGAAAAGGTGTGTGTGTGTGTGTATTTACCTCATTCCTCTTTTAAAATCAGCCTGTATTAATCCGATCGTCTAAGCGCATGCAAATATTTGGCTTTCTAATGCGAGAGAAGAGGGCTTGCGTATCCCTACCTTGTTACTTACTCTTAAATCTCGTGCATGAAGATTGCGAGTCTATTTTCTTTGCAATCGGTTGAATGCACAACGATGGAGTTGGAGTAGTTTCTCTGGCAATAATCATGTTCGAGTGAGCAAAATTAAATTGCAAATGGGCTGTTTTTTTCATCCGGTTCTGGTGCAATCTGTCACGATGAGTGAGCTAATGGGGTGGGGGGGGGGGGGGGGGGGGGGGGGGGNGGGTGGTGGTGGGGGCATGAGTGCGAACCTGTTAGCTAAGGTTCAGGTCGTGAAGAAAGGTGTGTAATGGTAAGTAAAGGCTAAGGTATAGCCATACTACAGAGCAATCCACAAACGAGCGATTCTGTAAAGCTGGGAATAATGGAAATAGAAACCGAAATGGAAGTAATGGCTAAAAAATCTTGGGGTTATTCAGTTTATGGAGCAAAGGAAATGCTCAGAAGTCAAAGTTGACAAGGAGTAGGAATTAAAATGCAGGTATTGGAGCATTTCCAGATCATTTCAGAGTCATTTTAAAAGAACTTATTTGATGTCGGTAACACAATTGAGTGTCACCTTCCTAGATGAATCCTTCACCGTGGTGAAGTATTTACCCTAATACTGTTTCTGTGCTTAATGGTTAACTACTCCTTGTTTGATTTAATTTTTTTGCCATCGGATGAATTGAGCTTATTGTATAAGGAGCTAAAGCTGTCCACTCAGTGTTTTAACTCCTAAAACGGTTTAAAACCTTCCTTCTTTAGATTCTGCTGACGTTTTGGCCCGAGAGTTAGTCGAAGCTGATCTTCTAGATGGTTGTGATTCACTCATTGGTAAGAATTGCTCCTGTTAATTACTTCTCACACTGAATCTTGCAATAATTTACGTCTTCCCGGCTTATTAATCTTCTAGTTGCCCATCATATGAGTGAACTAGTGGCTCGTCCCCACGAAAAGGAACACTGCTTCCCATTGGTATGCCTGGTAGAAAATAACGGTAGCCTACTTAACTATTAGCAGTAGGCATTTAATTTATCTTTTGTTACTTCAGAACTCACCAACGCCACATGGCCAAGTTCCCGTTGAATCGGAGTTACACGGCTATGCGAAACTCATTATTCGCCCTATGGAAGGAGCTCCTCAGTAGCAACTGTGAATGAATATGCATAGGTTAACTTTGCAAAACAAACAAATAAATTCCACAAGCCATTATTGTTTCTCAAGTGCTTTCAGGTTTAAGTTCTCCTCTTTTCCTAGTTCTAAGTCAGTACCCAGCACTCTCAGTGAAAATTTCGTGCCTTCTGTTAGCAACCTTACCCTCTTTTGCTATTTTCGTCTCTTAGCTCCTTTCTCTGCTTAAGTAAAGTCTGTTACTAGTTAATTTAATGCCATGCTGATGTTGGTCTCTTCTCTTTGGCGTTGTCTTTCTCCAATTTCCATAACTTATTCCGCTTAATCCTACCGCGATTCCCTTTGAAAATCATATTTCTCCTCTTTTCGCCTTTTTTCTTTATTTTCGTGCTTTCTCCTCTTTTAACTCTTATTGAGTGTGCGTATTACGTGGCGTCTGTATTTTGATGGTTAAATTCTTTTACTACATAATGATGAATGTTATTTTTACTTAAATAAAGTAGTAGCATGAACATATTATTTTCAATTTTAGGTTAACTTTAAATTCGGAACTCTTTTTTTTGCGCGTTTGTGCATTGGTTAATGCAAATGTCTATCAAGTCAGAGGCCACAGATTGCCTAAACTCCAGCGCGCATCTAGTGAATGGGCAGTGTTGGTCAAGAGTGAGTCCTTTGATCATGATGGACATTGGGAAATAGTTCTTACGAAAGGAATTTCTTAGTTTTTCTTTGCAAGTGGGAAATAAATGGAGTTAGGCGCCATGGTTGAATGGAGCTAAAGAGGAAGTGTGATGATTTCGAATCGAATATGAACTCAAAGTTTTATCCAGGAATCTAAGTTCACCGAGTTATGAATAAACAAAGGTGTTTTTCTATTGATGCCTTCACAGTGAGATTCTAACTAATCTGTCTTCAGCCTATATTTGAATTGACTGCTAGAATAAAGACAGTTACTGGCGTTGGGGTGATAGTATGTGATCATAAACATTTGTCGTCGCTTACGAGAGCGAATAAATTAGGGAAAATAATGGATGGGGGAAGAAAGCGAACGGCCATAAGTTCTGCTTGACTATAAGTTGGAGGGAAATGAATACCAGTTTTCCTGTTCGAATTCTTTAGAAAGGCAACTTGGAAACGAGCGAGCATAGTTCACACTTAGCTTTGGGGTGTTGCTTATTTATTTGTTAGCTACAGTGAATCCACTTAGCATAAGATAAATTAAGGAAAAATAGTTTTAATAATCCCTTGAAATTCAAATTTAAGATAGCTTTATTGACCTCAAATATTTATGAAGGTCTGAAATTAGAAATGCAAATGAATATGACTGAACTCACAAGGTGATCACGCTGATTGTAATTACATTCATACCCTCAACATTAATTTATTCAGGATAATTAAATTGTAATCACCGTCTGATGATTTTAAAAGTAAAGCCCCTTTCCCACCAGCAATAGCGTCACTTGTATTCATCCACACATTAAACCAATCAGCGATGGAAATTACCTTGGCGCGGGATTCAGATGCTTGCCATGCTATTTTCCGTCGCTGCTTCCTCGCCCGGGTAGGTGTGCTGCATCGAAGCAGCAGTAGCAGTAACCGAATAGAACTATTCTTAACGGTATTTACGGCGGTGGCGGCGTAAATGCCAGCACTTTGCCGGGTGGGACCTGTTCTCTCGACACATTGCATACATTTCCACAGTCATGGCTGCTGATTCAGACTAGAAATTTGTATTTCCTATCAAGGAAGTATAATTAAAGCTGGAGGTTCATTTGATGTAGAAGAGTAAGAATAATTTTCAGAAACAAGTTTTCTACTAATATAAAGATCGTTTAAACGTCTTCATTGGAACACAGGTTTATAAGGTGGCAAAAATTGGGGACCAGTCCTTCCTCAATAAACAAACTACGTTTTAAGTATGGGGTGTGCGATAGACTTACCTCCACGTGGGGCACCCTGAGCAACGTATACACATACGGCAAAATAATCTATAAACCGGACATACGGCAAGAAAGGTCTATTAACTGGCAGTTGACTTCCGACTTCAAAACATCATCACCTCACTGAATGTCATATTCGACTACTTCCACAGTACTCTCCTCACCTTTTTCACTCTACCTTTGTTTCTGTCTCTTTTACATCTTTGAAATACTCTTCTGTTCCCCACCCTCTCTCAACTTTCTTCAATTTGATGTTCCTTCCCCTCCTCCTCTCTCGACTTTTTTCCCTTTGATGTTCCTTCCTTCTTGAACCCCCCTCCCCCTCTCGACTTTTTTCCACTTTGATGTTCCTTCCTCTCTGTGAAGCCCGAAGTCAACTAAAGGGGTAATGGTAACCATCAAGACGCCTGCCATTTGATATAAAATACGTTTTAAGTGTAGCCCTCAAAACAAAGCTACCACCTAGCATTTCGCTCTGAAGTATGCAAAAATATGGTTATCGGGTATGAAGTGAAGCGCCAGTGACCAGTTTCCAATGTAAAACATACTTGAATGTATTTATTTTCCGTTAAAAGTGCTTTAGAGAGCTCAGCTGTTTTGCACATGCTAGGCAGACTTTCCCCACTGTCTCGGCTATTACAACCACATGCAGCTAGCATCTGTGGAGCTCTAGAACGCCGATGCCTCCAAGGCTCAAGCTTTGCAACTAGGTCATTACGGGCGTGCTCTTTTTACTACAATAAGACAAATTGAAAAGAAAACTCAATTTTAAAAATTTAAATTCACAATTAAAAGTGAACACCTATTAAAATTTTCGCCAAACGCTCACAAAATGTAAAGGAATTCAAGCCCTTCAAGTACATAGAGTCCACATCCGTAGAAATTGCTCTCCTTTAACTACAATTATTTCATTGTAAACTTGCATTCCTTGTCTGTAAATAGCATTTTGCATGCATACATGTCTAAGTTAACCAGAGCATATTATCTGGTTATGAAAAAACATAGAAAACGCCTCTACTCTCCGCACTGAACCCGAACTCGAAAGATATGCTTCAAATTTATTTTCCTATAGATGAAATAAATAAAATAGGAAAAAAGTCCTAAAGTAATAGACAAAAGTTTATTATTTGCGTTGAACAATTTCGACGCACGGGACGTATTTTTCGCGTTTACTCTAACTGCATACTTTGTATTGTTTAATCGAATTATTTAAATTATGGAAAATGCAAAATAAACATGAATTCGCATGACATGTGCCATAGAGTATTGTTGAAAGGAAACGTGATATTACGTCTACCTCATTACAATGTAAACATCACTTTACTACAGTAAATCTGACTTCGATTTAAGTTTTAATGTGATGCTCTAGAATTACAATAAAATTCACACTTTAAATTGTTCCGGTATTGATTGCACAGACTTAGTTTGAACCAAATTTCTCATCATTAATAATGGATTATTTAATATAAAAAACGAATGTGATAATAGAAATACTTAAAAAATATTTGGCTATTAGCACCTGAATAAGGCATAACACTTTATTTCCCCAGGGCTATCGAGTGGGTAAAATGGTGGGTTTGAGAATAAATATTAAAAAAGACAAATTTTAAAAATATTAGAGTTGTAATTTATTTAATTCTCTGATTTAAGTGGTGAAAAGTTTACTTGAAGAGTTAATTTCCCCGCTCCATATACTAGTACTTAGAAATTGAGGATCATCGATTGAAGTGTTTGCTAGTACATTTTCATTGACCAAGATAAACGCGGCTAAAATGTATTTCCAGTAGATCAAAAGTTTCTATAACTAAATTTCAACTTTTTTAAAGTAGTGCTGGAAAGAATCAAAAGGAACTTTCTATGATCATCTATATGGGGTGTGCGATAGATTTACCTCCACACGGTGCACCCTTGGCAACGTATACTCATAGGGCAAAGATGTCTATGAATCGGTAGTTGACTTCTGACTTCAAACTACCATCACCCCACTGTGTGTCAAATTCGACTACCTCCATGGTACTCACCTCACCTTTTTCTCTACCTTTGTGTCCATCTGTCTCTTCAACATCTGTAAATCGCTTTTCTCTTCTCCCTCTCAACTTTTTGTGATTGATGTTCCTCCCCTCTGTGAAGCCCGAAGTCAGCTAAAGGGTTAATGATAACTACCAAAACGCCTGCCATTTGATATAAATAAATGATAATTTATAAGAATCAATAACAAATTAGCCAAGATTCTTAGACTTTCAATGCGCGATATTTCAGTATTGGACAACTGCTCATTCAACAGGAAACAGTTAAATACAATACCTAGTTGCTATCAATTTACAGCAATACTTTCGGAAACGCCTTTATAACTAAGCCTATACCACTTTGATCAAAATGAAATTTTTACTGCCAAATAGCAGTATATATATACATTTGTATGTATGTATGTTTTATTTTTTCAATTCATTTGTCTTTTGAAATAAAGTAATAAGCCAAGGAATTCTCCGATCAAGATAAATCACCAGAACTTTAAATGTCTCTAAGGTTTCTTAAATATTTCAGCTTTTCCATTCGGGAAAAATATGAGAGGATAGTTGGGCTGATGTCGAATGAATAAAGGCATTATGGTATACTCCCGACGATGTGCTTACCATTTTTTTATCATAGAGAGACCTCAATTCTTTTGTCTGTTAAAGCAGCGGCAATTAAAATACTGAGTCTTTAAAAGACATGTTAATTACAAGTATTTTCTAATCTTTTCACGTCTGGTCAACGTTAAAATCTGATTGGATGCATTTTTATGATGTATTGTTATAAATGACTCTAATTCTATTGAATATGAAAGAGAAAGCGCAAATCTTCCTCCATTTAATTGATTGGAAAATCGATAAACCCACACTTATTAGTATGTTTTAATTAACAATAAAGCAACAAAAAACTTTATTCTCTAATTTGGCATTATTATATGCCTAGTACCCCCTGAAGCAATGCAAAATACCAGACTTATTTATGAAGAATTATTGCAATATGAATATCATGAGAAGAAAGTGAAATAAATCTCAACCTTGGTTTCATTTCACTGGAGTTTCAAGTTCTTCGAAATGTGGGTCACCCCTAGGCGTTTGAAGGGATTTGTGTCAATAATTTTCAAGACAAATAAAAAGTTTTCTGCTAGGATAAATTTGTCGGTGGGGTATTGGTCTGGGATGTGCCAATAACATTATAATGGAAAAATATCTAAAGTAACAATTGTGCCGCTAAAATAAGGAAGACTTTTCACCATAATTCGCATTGTACACAGTGAACTTGACCAATGAGGAAGAATATCCATAATCGCTTATTATTATTGACATATAATAATGCCTAACTGAGACTAAACTTGGTTAACAGAAAGTCCAATATAGAATAAAGTGGAGAGGTTCATAATGAGGTTGAGAGCAACTTCAGCCTATCAGGGGGGGGGGGAGGGAGTGAGGGGTCATACTTCATTTGATTTTTAAAATCGGGTAGTAAATTATTTAAATAATGGGTGGCCAACCGATTTTCAAATTTCAAATTTTATATTTTAATCCCTAGATTCCAGCCATGTTTGTTAACCATTTTTTTTTCATTAATTATTGTCGATCTTACCGCTTTCATTAGTCACATTGAAAGACAAAAATGGTTGATATCTTATTAAGTTTATGACGTTAAAATAGTGACTTAGTAGAGTATTTTAATAACGTAAATATCTCTACCTTATTTTCGTTGAAATTGACTAAAGTTAGACGGTAATATCTGAACAAAACTGACACAAGAACAGAAGAGATGGCATGACACCACGACACAATCTTTGTAAAGCATTTATACCTGCAGTGAAAATAATTGTTTCTCTAACCATTGTTTACCAATAACAAAATACAATTGGAAACCATCATAATTATTAAAAGTGTGCATAATTTCGAGGCAACACAAATCAACCAAGATTTGTGGCTCTGTAAAGAAGGAAAATGCCATATTTTTGAAATGGGTTCCACTGGCGTAAGAAAAGAATACCTTTCCATAATGTCACCGTAGCTACGTCCATGACATATGCACTTTTGAGTAAATGAGGAGAGAACGAAAGTTGGAAGATCAGAAGGAAAAGCTGAGGCAGTAACTTTGTCGAAGAAAAGAAAGCTTTCTGCAATCTATTAATTTCCTACAAAAGTCAATAATTTAATTAAGTACCGAACATTGTGCTTATTACAATAGAGGGGTGGAATAATATAATTAAATCTGGGATGTGGGATAGACTTACCTCCACTCTGGGCACCGTATACTCATACGGCAAAAAAGTCTATTAACTAGCAGTTGACATCTCACTTCAAACTACCATCACCTCACTCTATGCAATATTCGACTATTTTCACAGTACTCACCTCACCTTTGTTCTACCTTTGTATCTGTCTCTTTTACATCTTTGAAACACTCTTCCGTTATACCCCCCCCCCTCGATTTTTTCAATTTAATGTTCCTTCCCCTCTCTGAAGCCTGAAGTCAACTAAAGGGCTTATGATAAATATTATAAAGCCTACCATTTGATATAAATAAATAAATATAATTAAATCTTTTGAAAGGGAATGTCCATTTATTAAGCATTTGACTTCCCAAAACCGAGCATAAACTGAAGCAGCATTCTAAGATGCCTTGACGTTGCTTTCAGCATCGTTCTAATTCACCACTGATTGGACTTTCGGGTAACCGAATTCAATCATTTCCCACAATTAAAGGGCACACACTTTTAATTTTACTGAGGGTCTTCACGTGCATGTAGTAAATGCCATGAAATTGATATATATATATATATATATAGAAATGAAAATTTATGCATTCTATTGCACCACGAGCCAATTTAAGGCATTCTATAGTTTACTATGTTCTAGCATTTTATTGCACTTTTTTATCCACGTAAAAGCGCTGCATTTGAAGTTTTCGATTCAACTCTTTTTTCCGGTGATATAATGCCAATAATTTTCACCGTCGAATGACTTCAGAAGCAATCCAAGTCGAACAATTGCAATACCCATGTCTTCAATTCAATGTTGCATTTTCGATACACTTTGTAACTAAATTAACGTGCTCAAATAGACTACAATATCATAAGTAAACATGAATTGACGATTGGGGGTTAAAAATCATTAGTAGTATAATGCGACTCAAATATGCCAGGGACACGTGAACTAAAACGCTTTAGCGGGATCTGAATATTGTCGGGGGGTCAACTATGAAGAGTAGGCTATCAATCTTCATCTCATATAAGCAGCCGGAAGATGAAAATTTACATTATAATGCTGTGTGCATCCTTTTGGTACAAAAGAGCTCTTGTTTTTTCTACGATCGAAGGTACGGAATTTTCCTGACGTCAATTGAGCGCTCAACTGACCCAAAACAAGGCTGAAAGTGGCATGCGAGTGGCACAATGCGTAGAACTTGACGAAACAAGCGCTTTTTACGAAATTAATATTTTTTTTAATATTTGCTATTGAGATAAGTGGAAATGGCACTTGTTTGTTTATATCAAATTGCAAGCGTTTTGATAGTTATCATTAGTCCTTTAGTTGACTTCGGGCTTCACGAAGGGAAAGGAGCATCAAAGTGAAAAAGTCGAGAGGGGAGGGGACAGAAGAGTGTTTTAAAGATGTAAAAAAGACAAACAGACGCAAGGACAGAGAAAAGGTAAGATGAGTGCAGTAAAGTGGTTGAATATGACATACAGTGGGATGATGGTAGTTTGAAGTCAGAAGTCAACTGCTGGTTAATTGACCTTTTTTGTCGTATGTGTATACGTTGCCCAGGATGCACCACGTGGCGGTAAGTCTATCGCACACCCCAGCGGAAATAGCATAATGCGGTTAAAATAACTCTTAAAATTAAAAATCCCCATTGTCAAAAGTTGATATTTTATAATTTATAATGAGCATTATTAGTAATTAGCAGAATTTACTTTTTTAGCTATTCTCAGTGAAGGTTAGTTAGAACTACTAGAATTTGGGATGATACATTTATAGCTTTTAGCCTTGAATGACTGAATCATTTCATGTGCACCTTTGACTTGCTCACAAAAACCGAACTATTCCCACAGGTTAGTGTAGTTGCTAAACAAGCTCATTAAATGTTACAAATACTTCAGACTTCTATGAATAATTGTAAATCCAAAAAGAAATAGATCAAACGCTCTATATACATACATATTTATATATAGTATACAGAGAATACTATTTGAGTAAAGGAGAGAGAGAGAGAGAGAGAAAATAATATCAGATTATAGAAGTAAAGTGGTGTGTGTGTGTATAGTGAGAAGAAAGAGTAGCCACGAGTCATGGGATCATCTCACCATGACAAAGAACCATTGGTGATGATGATGATGATGACAACGACGACTTCAGTAGGGAATATGCCTTGTCAGGAGCCACATGATAAGAGCAGAGATGCCTCCGGCAATTGGAAGGGTAATTACCCAGGCAAGAAGGATGTTGACAAATAGGCGCCAATTAACATTTTCTCGTGAGCGGAAACGACCTACACAGACGACAGAGCCAACCTTACAATGCGTTGTCGAGATTGGAAGTCCAAATTTGCTGGCAATCAGAACTGTCAACGCTGAACCAATCTCTATTGCCACGCCGCTTAATGAAAAAGAAAAAACAAATGTCATCGAAAAATTGAAACGAAAATTACCTATCTTAAGAAGTGCATTGAAAGTCTAAGCTGGATTTGTGTGATTCTTACGAAGAAATCGGAATAATTTTACAAATAATGACATATTATAGTAAATTGAATTTTGTTGAATAATAATGCTCTTCCGAAGATGAAAATTTAATTAACAGCTATTTCTCATGAACAAGGAGCATTTTGAAAATCAGGAAAATCGGATGATAAAATTGCATTCCATCATAAAAGCACATATTTAGCTGAGGAATCATAATCTGTTTTTTTTTCACACATAAAAGTCTATCCTATTTGGAAGTTGAAATCTTCATATACGCTGCGTCCACCAAAAAACGTATTGAAAGAGGTCTTTTGGGATTACTGACTATTGAGCATGAATGATAGGAACTGTACCTTGAGGGAGTAATTGTTGCAAGATCTTCACCAATGGTTTCTATGACCCTCCGACCCCAGATCCACAATCCAGTCGTGATGCCAACTCCTCCGTACACTAGGATCCACAGTGGTGTCGAAACGTTGGATGCTATTTCACCAGTGGTGACGAGAATCCACAAGCCAATCAGAGGACCGATGGCGTTGCTTTTGAAAGGGACGTAAAAAACTAATTAGCATTTGACAGCAAGTCGACAAACATTGTGACGTGAGTACAAAGAATAAATAAGAAGGTAAGACGAATGAGCACTAACCTCACGTCGTTGCCGCCATGAGCAAAGGATCCAAACATTGCAGTTAGAATTTGAGCGAAGGAGAAAACTTTTGCCTCCTCAGGTCGATCTCTCAACATCGGATCTTCAGTCTTAAGGAAGAATAGAATAATTGATGCGCGAAATATCATGTTTTGAACAATCCCCTACTTCAACCCCTCCCCCCCCCCAATGAAAATTGTGCTAAACGACTTCAGTTGTTTTCTCATTGTAGAGTTTAAAAGTCGTAAGGGGAACAGAAAAATTGATACGCGAAATATGATGCCCACTTAGGTAATTTTAATGAATAAAAACTAATGTGGCAACTTCGCTTCTCCTTTTTCCCACTTCAAAGAAAATTGGAATTGTGAGAAGAAGTCAAAGTATTTTAGTGATTGTAAATACACTCAAAAATGAACAATTCATTATAACTAAATAAGCAATAAATAAATGACATTTGAAAAAAGGAGGGTGATTAATATTTCTAAATAACCATTTTTTTGAAAAAAATCGTGTCATATGAAAAATGAATGTCCAAATATTTGCTGGAACTTAAGGCACTAAAATGAAAATTATGATAGGCCTGTAGAGAGAATAGGTAGGCAAACATCTGTTTCCGCATATCTTTATGTCGATGCTTCGTGACAGCCTTAAAGTTACGTTAACCAGTCGCTTCATAGAAAATTATTTACTATTATAATGTGAATAAGTACCAAAAGGTAAGTTGTACTAAGCTCTAATTAAAAAAAACAAATGGAATAAGACTCTTTTGTTACTCTGATAGCATTTACGAAATTGTTTTGAACGCTTCCTAAATTAGAATGATCTTTATGTGCCAAATCTGATTTGTCTACCGATCAAGCAGAGAGAATATCGAATTATTTATTGATTGAACACACTCACTCAATAATTCAATCGAGTGCTTAATATTAATCACATTTAAACTGAGACTGATAGACGCAACTCCATGCCATTATTGGTCGTCCAACTCATTTTGCTCAAACAAGCTCTCAATCGCATGTAGAGAATTGCTTAATACACCGTTCGCTGAGGCTTGAAAAGGTTGATATCCTTTGAGTTGCAAAATGAGCTCATTATCCCACCAGCTCATTAAAAAAGCAAGATTAAGCGAATTTGCGCAATTTACTCGAAATTATGCAAAAAACCACGGAAATGTAATTTAGCGCATTTTAACAAGCCTGAAACCGTCAAGAATAATTAGCTTTTAATCAAAACTTAATTTTTTCTTGAGCAAAAATGATTTTTTTCTGTGTTAGTTAAGAAACAAAGAAGGGGTTGAGAAGAAGATGATGGATATTTATTGTGATATTAAAGAAAAACCACCAAGACTAGAAAGTATTGAAATTTTTTTATATTTTGCGCTACTTTACTCATTTATGATGAGCTTCATAAAGATCATTTTTCATTTCCAAATTCATTTAATTTGTTTTAATTAGTGTCTAACAATACGACCTTGGTAGCTTACCACAATTGGTTCCATACTTCCGGATTCATCCATTTCGCTTCCACCTACAAAGATAAGAAGAGAATTAGGCTAAAGTAACTCAATAGTACCGATGTTTTTGTTTTATGAGCTCAGATTCTTATACAGTTTCATTTTATCAAAAGCTTACTATTCATTCTCGTATGTTAATTAAAAATCCAAAAAAACCGGAAACATTTTGTTTTAATAGTGCGCTATCATTTTTTAGTTATGCCACTTTATACTGATATAAGAATGAAGTTACTGGCAGTGGCCAACGCCCAAATCTAAGATAATGGAGGTCACGGGATTAGGGCTAATTATGGAAACCTGCTGACTTGGACAGGTAACAGCAATTATTAATTATAGCCAAGAGAAGGAGTGGTTGTTGAATCCGAGTTCTTCATCAATGCAATTTCAGGATATCTTGCTTCCACTCAATCATCCCAAAGGGGACTTGAGAAAATGACGGATCATGTGTAGATTGGCTCATCTTATTTCAGAACTATTTTAGGAGCTCTCCTTTAAAAGAAAACAAAGAATGTGGCGCTTTCAACAAAATCATACATTAATGGCTAGTAAAAAATGTTTTAACCAGGCTGAAGGAATAATTATAAACAGGAAAGAGATAAAATTGGATATAAATTATTCCGGAGAAATCAAAATAGATTACAAAATTGGAAAAAGCAGCACTAATAGGCATTTTAAAGAGGTGAAATCGAAATATTCTTAATAGACTAAAAGGAGAGTAGTGTGAAAACAGTATCCTAGGAAATTCGCGGTATAAGTATGGGAATTGTGCAGAACGATCTCACATAACCTATTAGCGAGAGGCTATATATTTTATGAGAATTATATCCTCGACACTCAGTGGTGCACATGCAGTCTGGTCGAAAACAATTAGTTGCAGAATTTTAGTTTCATATACGAATTTTGTAAAGAAACATCCTCCCTTCACCTACTGGAGTGAAATGGGAGTGTTGATATCATCAAATGTAAAGAAATTTAACGGTCCAATTGAAGGCTTTTTCCACAATATGATGCTTTTTAACTGAGAAGGGTGAAAAATGTAAAAAAAATGCAAACCCAATACTGTAAAACAGCTTTCAAAAACAATTTACAGGCATTGTTTATGCAAATGCTAGAACCGAAGTTGAAAGCACAAGAACTTCAGGTATATACTCACCTCCACGTGGTGCACCCTGGGCAACGTATATTCATACGGCAAAAAAGTCTATTGACTGGCAGTTGACTTCTGACTTCAAAACTCCATCACCTCACTGTATGTCATATTCGACTACTTTCACAGTACTCACCTCACCTTTTTCACTCTACCTTTGTGTCTGTCTCTTTTACATCTTTGAAATACTCTTCTGTTCCCCCCTCTCCCTCTCGACTTTTTTTCACTTTGATGTTCCATCTTCTCTGTGAAGCCTGAAGTCAACTAATGGGCTAATGATAACTATCAAATGCCTGCCATTTGATATAATAATAATACTATTTAAACTTCATTTTAGTTCCAACTATTTGTATAGACCAACCCGCTGTTCCATGAATTGGCTAAATAGGAAATTGTACATTTTATTTCAATACGCTGGGACAGACACGACCAAACGGAAGTTGTAATCAACCCCCTTCCC